GAAGAGTATTTATAGTTGAAGGGTTGGGTGATAGAATAGAAAAAAAGGAAAACTGACCACAGCAGTAAGGAGAACGTTACTGAAAATAATGCAAGTAATCAAACATTACTGCACAGCAATCAATGACACATTAAATAAACTTAACAGTAATGTCAAATGATAGAATGTCAACATAAAAATGATTTACAATCAATATCAAATGCTAAAGCAGTCAAGATTGGGAAAAAAAATTCTCAGACTACTTCCTAATTGTGATATTACACTAATTAAGGTAAGTATAAACAGTTCATATTTTTTACTATCATTTACTTAACAGTTAATACTGCCACTCTTCAAACCCTAATTATGTAAGTCACTATTATAAAAAATGGTGCCTGTAATCTAGGGAATGTAAAAGTTTTTTAAGTATTTAAAAAAATTTATGAAATAAAATTTCAATTGTCTAGGGTTTCCCGGGTTTTAAATAACAGGCGCCGACACACTTGTGTGGCCTCAGATTATTATTCCGGAGAGCGCCTCACTTGTCGTGGAACAGGTTCCTTATACACTCAATAAAGTGGTGTTATCTTGTTAGAAACCGAGACAACTGTCTTTTGGTGCAAAGAGCAGACAGTGTCCCTGGATACTCAGATACAGACTCGAATTGGCTCGCAAAAGAAGGTGAGCTGCCTGAATATCCCCAGAAAAGGGATAAGGGAATTTAGATGCCTAAACACTTAGACAGAGCAGATTACCCCTCCCGACAATTTCCCTTTCTGGTAGTAAAATTAAGCCCCCATCTAGACTATGTATATTGGTAGACAGCACTGACACCATACATACATCTAGAAATAGAAATAAACTTTCGACTATGAGTTTAAATCAATCATAGGAATGTTTATTAAAATTAAAGTAAAATTCAATCATCTATTTACTTTTGAAAATACATTATTCAAACTAAGTAGGATGAAAGATAAAAATGATAGTAACATGAAACTGTCGTCATGAGAGGATCAGTGGGAAATAACATACAACAATTACCACCTGGAGTTTCCCAGAGGATCATCCATTTCAAAGACTGAGGTGGAATGTCGGATCTGTCCCAAGCACCAAGATCTTCCTTAGGGCACTCCAATCATTAGCTACAACCAGCCTGGCAGTGGTTTGGAAGCTCGTCCTGCCACAAGGAATCTGTCCTCGGCTTTTCAGCAGCTAGGGATGGAAACAATCAAAAAAATATATAGTCCCTGCTGTTTTGCAAAATAAAATATATTCCCAACTTTCCCCTCTCTCTTCATATTGTCAGAAGTGGGATAATAGTCTAGTAGCATTGTCATTTACATAGCTTCCACTTCTGACTACTGTCCAGTCCCGATGAATGTCTTCCATCTTCTGTCCTTCAGGATGATAGTGTAATGCTCCTCATTTTTTCACAGACTCAGACAGCAATATGCAGTTATAAATGCAACACAAAATCAGACAGAATGTTATAGAATTCTCTCTATAAATATTGAGAATTCTAGATAAAAGATCTTGCCTTTCCTTCTTCCAGATATTCCACTGTGCGTTTATTTTCTGGTTGGTGAGGCTAAGAAAAACAGTTTCCCAGTGGGTAGTTTTCTCGGACAGCATATCCTCAAAATCACAGCATTTAATACTGCTGTGTATAAGTAAAATAATACATTAATAACATCATGAAAAATACATCAATACCCTGAAAACAAAATTCAGCACTTCTACAACAAGCAAACATTATGAATTATAGAAGTATGAGCATGAACAGTGAAGAACAATGTCTCCTATGAAATGTTACCATTGAGATGTTACCATTATCTACACAAACTCTGCTAACCAGCCATAGATCATTCATCTACCAGCAATAGAAGATAGATAATTTCCTAAGAGTCTTAGATACAGCAAACAGAAGTAACCTCCTAGATACCGAACAATAAGAATCAGGAATAGATCATAAAGAAATGGTTTCCTGTCCATGTGCAGAAATGGGTCAGCGTGGTTTTTCCTCTGTCTGGTACAATTCTAATATTGTACACGAAATGCGGCCCGAAAACTGAAATCACGATTTAATTAACAGTTACTGTGCTCACCTGGATTTAGATGTAACTATATGGTCATGTTGCTAGGGTTTTTAGGCGGCGAGAAAGACAAAGTTCTGCCAAAACGGCCCGCTCTAACACCTGCTTGCTGACCTGAAGTAAAATGGCTGGCAATCTTGTCTCACTGCGGGATTTCCGGTGTTGGCCAGGGTTTTCCACGCTACGTTGCCGAGTTACTAGCCGTATATTTTTATACGTGAAAGCTCAGGGGAATTACAAGTAGGACAATGGAAAATCCCCAAACAGCAACCGTAGGCTATAACCGGGATATCTCTCAATGCGTCTTATGACGAAAATGAAGTCACTGGGCGCATGTAAGAGAGAAAAATAGAAGGGTCACAAAGGGGTGGTATGTCAGCCAAGTATCTTGTCTACTTTAAGCGGCGTCTCGTCGTCTGATCACTTCACCCAGTGCCGATTGGTCTATAAAATATAGGTCTAGCCCTATATGCCCAGTACGATGGCCTGAAAAAAGGTCTTAGCTTTATTTGGGTTCTTAATTTATAACGTACCCCAAACACGAAATCCCCGTTGGAAGTCCACAGCTGACCTGACAGTCCATTATTTCAAGGGGTGCAAGTGTGCTGTCGTGTGGTGCTTTTTTTTAGTGTTCATCTAGTGTCTTCTAATGCTAACCCTAACTCTAACCCTAAACTTGGCTGTAGATAAATCGCGAGAAACTACAACCTGAACTCCCTAGAATTTATTGGGAATGTCTCCCGTGACGTTGTCGTGACGTCAGGGGTAAGTTATAAATTAAGTACCTATTTTTTTTACCCTAGCTAGCTGTTGTATGCCTACTGAGTGCTGCTGTCTATCTATCTGTATGCCCATGTTTACTCTCTCTCTCTCTCCCTCTAAATCCCTTTTTCTCTCAGTTAACCCATCTTATATTCTCCCTGGTTCTGTCCCCCCCCCCCCCTTTTTTCCTTTTATGTTCAAGACGAGATTCCCACTATATCCACACAGAATATGACTATTAATATAAAAACAACACGACTTATTTGGCCAATGAACTGTCGCAATATTTGCTCAAACCGGTCGGCCCGTAGTCAGTCAACACGAGTTAGCCTTGGCAGTGTGAGAAAACTGGTGGCAGGGGTGAATCTAACCATGGCAAGGCGTCGATCTAACAATGCAGGGACACCAAGGAGTGTGGCCTGGCTTGTGCGAATGCTGTAGTCGCTTAGTGAGCGATGGTTCGCTTCCATTGTACAAAAGGTGTTGAACAAAGAAATGAGAAATATCCGAGAAATCCCAATACCATCAAAGCAAAAAACCTGTATGGGCTCGAAGATACTATTGTTGCGGTGTGTGTGGGGGAGGGTGGGGGGTTGGGGAGAGGGGAGATATATATCCACTGTTTTTTTTACAAGCATTTCGTAAAAGGCGATTAATTAAGGATTTGCTGAAATCTGAAGTGTTGGGCCAAAAAAAGCAGATATCACATCAGACCTTAAACCTCCAAATCATGCGGGTTAACTGGTCTTTTAGGGGGGAATGACGACTAAGAAGAAGAAGAAGAAGAAGAAGAAGAAGAAGAAGAAGAAGAAGAAGAAGAAGAAGAAGAAGAAGAAGAAGAAGAAGAAGAAGAAGAAGAAGAAGAACAAGAGGAACGAGAAGAAAAGAAGAAGAAGAAATACAGACAGACAGACAGACAGACAGACAGACAGACAGACAGACAGACAGACAGACAGACAGACAGACAGACAGACAGACAGACAGACAGACAGACAGACAGACAGACAGACAGACGGACAGACAGACAGACACAGACAAAGACAAAAGAAGGTGTCAAAGAAGAAAAAGAAGAAAAAAAAAGAAGATCCTGTCTGGTTTTAATAAATCCATGTGGGTGGGGGGGGGGGGGGGGGTTTATATCTGAATCCCTTAGAAGCGTGTTGTAAAAAGTAATAATGTGGTCCGAAGTTAGAGTATGTTAGCCTGAGAAGCGACGAATCTACAGGCTACATACAAATAATAAACAATAAAAACGATTTATAACACAAATGTGCATGCAAAATTCAAAAGACCAAAGTCCTAGGATGGACGAACAACTCAGAACTTTCCGCTGGAGTTTACAGACGGCGTACGGCTAAATAGAAAAACTAGACTGACCGACACTGAGTTGGAAAATATTGTTTCAGCAATCTCCGGGTATAAACATGGATGAATGAAATCTCGAGTGTTGATAAACTTGAACCGGTCTGTCATTCAGGAACCGAATGTGTTGTTTTAACAAATACTCTCAGGCGATTAGGCCCCAACAGCAGAGAAAGCATCGTGCAAACAATGTCCGAGTCAACGTTGTCTTCCTTAGATTTCCCAGCCGGCACAGCACACCTATACGCGGTGCCAATTCTGTAAACAAACAAAAGAACCCAGCTGGATCTTTCTTAATTTTTTTGTTTGTTGTTGATATTCTATATTTAATGCTTTTATAAACGTATGACAGCATCCAATAAACATTTAACAAATGCATAAGGCTCGTGACATACAAGTTCGAGCACAAGTGAGACTGTATCAACACAGCTGTCTTTGCTGCCTAGCGCTGTGAACAAATGATGCTTTTAGCTTCTTCACATCTGGAAGATGCCCGGCTCTCTAGCGTAGTCGGCTAAACCGGATTGCGCGGTGACCGGGTAACGAACTCCTTGTGGTCCGGGTTCACTCCCGGTGGTGGGCAGAAAAGCCACATTTCTCCCAGATTTACGGTATTTAAAATGGAATCAAAGCCGAAAGGTTGCGGTATCCATAATACCGAGCCTAATGGTTAACAAATCATGCCTTCTGGATACTAAAACAAACAAACAACAGAACTAAAAGATGAGATCCAGATGGATGACTTGCTCTCCTAGCAGTGGAGAAACAATATAAGGCCAAGGAGAAACTTTCTCACTGTAGTGCCTACAATGTTGGAGAAGGACCAGTAGTCTGGTGGTAGATCCTGAACAAATATGGCTGGCTGTATATCTTTAAAGCTGGTATTGAATACCGTGCCTTCCTCCTCTCTAGCTGGCATACGTGGCAAACATTCATGACGATTTATCACATCAATAATGCTGAACACCTTATCCGAAAGCTGCTCAAAAAGTTTGGTTTTGAACTCGGATCGATCATTTTCATTATGTAGAGTGATCACATTTAGTTTGACGCTCCACACTTTCCATGGAAAACTGTCAGCTTGGAATGGCCACCGACCCTTGTGCTTGTGGTAGAACTCTAAACTGATCTGCCCTGAGTGTAGTCCTTGACTGGCCCGCAAAATATCACGAAACTGTGCTATTTCTTTCTTGATTTGAGCATCCAGTTCCTTACTGAACTTTTTCACATAGGTAAAATCAACAAAACGATCAAACATGACTGCTTGTTTTACCATGGCAGCCGTAAAGTCAGAACCATATCTTTTTGTATACAGAGTTCCGGCGGCAGGTGACCAATCGCGGTTAGAGACAGTATCTGGGTCTGTCTCCTTTGATCGCATCAACACTGCAGGGGTCCTTTTCAGGGCTGTTGGTGGCATGCAGCGCTGAACCGTTTGATATGGCGCACATAACACAGTCACAGTTATAAAGATGAGGGTTCAGTGTTGCCACTTTGGATGTTTTACCTCCAGATTTAGATGTTTTCCCTTGCATTTAGATGGCGTTTTTGAAGTTTAGATGGTAGATGTTTTTCTAGATATTTTTCATTTGGAGTCTTCTTCTTCTTCACTTCCTCTTTTACGGCTGTGGGTGTCGAGGGAGATATAAGGTTCTGTTTCTAGCTCTTCTGGCTGCCTCGACCATAGGCACATCGTACTGTTGTAGAGTTTCTCTGATGTTATCCTTCCATATTGTTCTTGGTCTACCTCGTGCTCTACGTCTTTCTTCTCTTTCCATGTATGCTTTGTATGGTATGGTGTCACAAGGCATTCTCTCTAGGTGGGCAAACCATTTCACTTGCTGTCTTCGTATGTAATCCAGAATTGGTTCTGTGCCGACTTGTTATCTTATGATCTCATTCCTGATCTTATGGTCACTCCTACAGCCCTTCTCAGACATCTCATTTCCGTGGTTACTAATTTTCTTTTATGGTTTGTTGTGAGTGACCATGTCTGGCACTGGTAGCACAGAGTTGGAATAAATATGCGTTGAAAAAGATGTCTCTGTGTGCTGACTGAGATTGTCTTATGCTGTAAGAGGGGTGCTAGCTGTCCCAGTAAGTGGTTTGCTTTACTGCATCTAATGTTAATTTCTTTATCCAATTTCCCATCTTCGGTAAATGTAGTTGGCAGATTTCATTTGGAGTAAATTTATCAAATCTAACCTAAGAAACAGGATGAAATTTGACCTCTTAAATGGTATCTTGACAATAAAATTTTGTCTGATAAGAATATGAAAAGGCTGTTTCACTTATCAGCTCCCTGATTGGGTATTAAAAGAATTTGGAACAGCTAAAGCATACCAGAGTCATTTTGGACCTGAAGCTTCAACTTCATCATCCAATCTAAGTTTATATTGTGGATCTTGTAAGGCAGACTTCATTAAAGATGAGGACATGATTCTATAGGGTAAGTCATATCAATTGCTATGTTATTTGTGACTGTTTCCATTTGGATGTTTTTACTATATGTTTTCCACGCAGATTAAGATGTTTTTAGATATTTTTTGACTCCGTTTTGGATGTGTGTTTTTTTTTGTCAAAGAAAAGTGGCAACACTGCTGCAGGAGTCCATTTCAGGGCTCTTTGCGGCGTGCAATGCTGAACTATTTGATATGGCGCATACAACAGTCACAGTATTAAAGCTCCCCCTTCGGGGATAAGGGTTACCGATGACGATGTTTTCCCTCCAGGCTGCGGGTCCCATGGCTATAAAGGCTTGCAAACAGGTCACCTCTAGGTTTACCCGCTTATATATGCAATACAAACAGCCAACAATAAACAGCTCACTCGACACAATCTACGACCCTGACGTAAGTCAAGTGGAACCCAGCATAGTAGATACACATAACGTGACCCAGAAACAGGCATATCAGGGTGTCATTTCTGCCCTGCTAACACAGAACAGGTTCTAGGATGGCCCTTCGTAACCTTTAGGTAATAACCAACTAACACCGATGACCTACAAAGGCCAGACATGGCAGTCTCATTGGCTTTAGTCGCTTATCTGGCCAGGTCGGTTCCTGGTTATATTCCTGCCAAGTAGACGTGTCACACGGAGAGAGACTTTGGTGTGGGAATTCATTACATTGTGCTGGATGTATCTGCAGTTAAACATCTAGCTGGAATTTGTTTAAAATGAAACACTGGGTAAACGCTGTCTCTTCTTCTTCTTCTTCTTCTTCTTCTTCTTCTTCTTCTTCTTCTTCTTCTTCTTCTTCTCTTCTCCTCCTCCTCCTCCTCCTCCTGTAATACCTCATCGGGGTGTGGGGGATTGGCCGGAAGTAAGGATGTTATGTATGCTTGTTCTAATGCCTTACACATGATCATTTATATGAGCTGGTTCTTGGTGCTGTCGTTCTATATCTGTGTGATCGTCCTTTGGTCTGAATACATTATTTTTTTTTCGTCAATATGATTCTCTGTAAAAGTTGTTCTTAGGGTAATCCCGTCACATGACCAAATCATCTCATCTTTTATTCCTAAATAAACTGTAAAAGGGGTTACTAGTCTTCTGATTTCATTTTGTTTCTCTCTCGTGTTGAATGAACCCAGCTACGATCCCTGGAAATTTCGTGCTCAGGAAATCTTAGAATTTAAGGGCGAATCAGGAGAAGCTTGGAGGCAACAGAGACGTGGTTTCTCTGTGGAATGCGATGAACACTTAGGGCAGCCAAGGTGGCTAACAATCATGACATGATGAAAGCTAATAACTGTAGAATATCAGCATCATCTTTATCATCATCATGATCAGCATTATCATTATCATCATTATCATTATCATCATCATCATCATCATCTTCATCTTCCTCATCTTCATCTTCATCATCATCATCATCATTATTATCATTATCATTATCCTCATCGTTATTATCGTCATAATCATCTTCTTCTTCTATTTCTTTGTTTTTTCCTTGTCGCTGTCGTTGGCTACAAACTCCGACGTAAAATCTAGATTTGGATTTTTGTCTGGCTCCAGGACTTGATATATGCATGCACACTCCCGCCCCTTTCCTCCCCGCCTTCCTTCCCTCCCCGCCTTCCTCCCTTCCCACGACAGACAAACTTCGACCTCGAAGGGCACGCCCATCATACCTAGGTTTGCCAGGTCCTAGGTAGCGGACCTGTTTCTAAAATGGCCGCGAAGAAGTGTCAAATGATCTTGTATCAGCAATGGTTCTGACACCCGTCGAAGGAGGTTTTTCGCCAGGAACACAGATGAGTATCATTTATTGTGTACATTAGTCCCATGTAGTCACTTCATAGTTAGAGCATATTTGTGTACGTGTACTGTATTGTTCTTTTTGTGCTGATGAAGGCTAATCGCCGCAACGTCCTTTGTTCGTTTATTGTGATCGATTTTGTAAAGCTAACATAAACTGTTTGTTGTTTCTTACCAACTTTTTTTTCCCCTATAATTTTCTACTCCTTTTAAAAACTTTGTAGAATCAGTGCTTTCCTACATGCCGGCACACAGCGGTAGGCAGTACCGGCACCGCGTTAAGGTATTCTTGTTTCCAGCGCTGCTGTTATAGACATTTTATATTGAGTAAAGTAAGTAAAGTAAAGATCCCTTTTCACGCCTTTCGGCGCATCGGGCATATGGGCAGAGCGTTCCATATTTTACAGACCATCAGCACTCGGTGGGTAATGTGGTCAGCATTACGCCGGCTGTCTTTACTTTCCCAGGAAAGCCCATCAGCTCCTTATTTAGGCATTCTTGTTTCCAGCGCTGCTGTTATAGACACTTTATGCTGAGTACAGGCTCCTTATTTAGGCATTCTTGTTTCCAGCGCTGCTGTTATAGACACTTTATGCTGAGTACAGGCTCCTTATTTAGGCATTCTTGTTTCCAGCGCTGCTGTTATAGACACGTTATGCTGAAAATGACTTCTTATGAAATAAACACCTACTAACACTAACCCTAACCTACCTATAATATTGGCCTTTTCTGAAAATTCCCTATGAAATCTCGGAGCCTTCGAGATAGGGTAAAATAAACCGAATTATTATATGCAACCTTCGACTATAAGAAAGAGAAAGGGTTTCTTTGGTCATGTGAAAGAAGAGGGACATTCGTAAACATTTTGACGAATTGAAATAACAGCGGTAGCAAAGGCAGTCCAAGGGAAATGATGCTGGGCGGTCTATTAACATAGTAAAGAAATAACAGCAATAAATTAACCCAGGGCACCAGGCAACAAGATTTGTGGTGAGACAAACACATACGTCGCCTCACACGGCTCATGATGATGACGAAGCGATGAAAGAAAGTAAGATGACAGATCTGATAACCAACCCCGAAACGTTTCAGCGGGCAAAGAAAAACAATGTCTTTCCACTTTAAGAGCATCGCAATGGGACCCTCAGTTCTAACCAAATACTGAATCCGTGTCTTATCGCCGCCACTCGCCGTTCTTATCTCCCTGCCCCCAACACTAGGGCTGTGTTCCAGTAACAGAAACGTATCACACAGTTGGCAGCCAACCGTGGAGCCACGATCTACACGCTGGCAGAGAAAAAGTCACGTCTTTGGAGAATAGAAAACCGTTTTCTCATGTGTCTTTTCATTACCTCCTAGTGTCTGCTGTTTGGGAGAGACAAGACATTGTATTCATACTGGAGTTTTCACATTCTAGAACTGTGGTCTCAAACCCGGGCGGTGGGGAGGGGGCACCTGGGACAGGCGGGGTTGAAGATGTTTCATTAAGGGGGGTGGTGGGGGGAGGGGGGGAAGGCACGTCAAGCGGTTTTTTTAAGTTTAATGCCTTTATACTTGTCATTATCCGGTTATTAACATTTTCTTTTTGTATTTAATTATCAACAGGAAGATGGGTACAGGATATAAGTGACTTGTTGAGTATTAAAGTACATGGAGGCGGGAAAGATAGCGAGAGACCGAGTTTCTTTCAGGCAGACCGTCGTGAGAGCGACGTTCTGCAAAGGACCTATAAAACAAAAAAGCTAAGGAGGTATTTTTGTCAGGAGCAGTTTGTACATGTACCAGTATAAAGTTTAGTTAATATGTGTATTTACAGATCAAGAACATTTTCTGACCAAAACGTATCTTTATACTTTGTTTCCTTTGCAGAATTCCGTTTATGCGTTTAAAAAAATCGTTACGTGGACAGCATCATCAAAGGGTGAGCTTTAGGTTATAATTGTGACTTATTTATACCGATGGTTCGGTGTTGAGAGGAAAGAGAGGAACCTGGGAGTTCGTAGCGAAAGCCAATGGAAAATCTGTACCGCATAAAGTCTC